TTTTTTTATTTTTTTTGGCCTGGCATTTTAAAAAGAAAGAATATGTTGGTTATTTGGAGCTAATAATTTGCTGGCAAACATTCAGAAGAAGCCAGGTGTGGTGCACGCCTGTAATCCCACCACTCCGAGGCTAAGGCAGGAGGATCATGGGAGTTCGAGGTCAGCCTGGACTACAAAGTGAATTCAAGGCTAGCCTGAACTATGTAGTGGAACCTTGTCTCAAGAAGACAAAAAAAAAAAAAAAACAACCAACTAGGAAGTATATAGAGCAGAGTCTAAGTCCCAGTCCCCAGTGCCTTCTTTATCGTTGCCATTTAACAAGCAGTTTCTTTCTGCTCATATCCGGACTGTGAGATAGGCCTCGTCTTTTTCCACATCCATGTCTGTGTTTTCAGTAACGATTACGCGATATTCCCTTACACAGTTAAGCAGTTTACTCTTATGCAATATTCCCTTACACAGTTAAGCAGTTTACTCTCAGTTTAAGTTTACTCTTCTCCTTTTGGTAGACATCATATGTTTATATTTTTAAATATCCTTTGTTCACGCAGACAAATATTTCTTTAAATTCCTAATTGTCAACTATACAGGCAAGAAATATAGGCACTTTCAAGTTTCTTTTTTTTTATGCCAATTTCTCCTTCCTTCAGCCCCAGCCCCCCCAAATTCTGACTGATGGTGTCTTTTTCATTTCTCTTTTTTTGTTGGTGGGGGAACGAGTACTAGGAATCAATACATCACATTTTGAAAAAGAAGCCAAAACAAAACCCTTAGTGTTGCGTTCTAATGTGGGGTCTTAGCGTGCTGGGCGAGCGCTGCCCTGAGACGCTCTGGCTGGCTCGGCCATGACCCTGCACCTCCCTGACACAGAATTATAAGTGTGTGCAGCCACGCCCGACTGTATTTTCTTAATTTATATCTGACTTCATTGAATTGCATAATTACAATAGCAGGTTCAGGGAGCATAAAAGTTTGGAATCAGCAGCTACTGGAGACGTTGTAGCATCGGGCTGTCCCCTGGGAGCGTGACACTGAGCCCTGAGCACCCAAAGCTGTGGGGTGCGGAGAGCCTCGGGTGGGAATTTCCTTGTGGGTGAGATGCTCGGCCCCCAGGTCACTGAGATGGAGAGTGCCATCTCATTGCCAGGGAAAGCTTGTAGCGGTCTCCTAGGCTTCAGCTACCCCGGGGGACACTTCGATCTAAGGCCCACTCTCTTGGTCTCCGACAGGGTACAGAATGCAGGCTATTCTGTGAGCCGGCCCGAAGGAGACACAGGGAAATACAAGTCCATTCCTCATCACCACAGAGGGGAAGTCCAGTTTCTTGGAAGGTGGGTGCAGTTCACGTACAAGTGCCCTGTTTGGATGTTCGCTGTGTGTCCCAGTGTCTTAGCATGCAGTAGGAGGATTGGTCCCATGCTGCGTACCTCGTTCTGGCCGGATTTCCCCGCTGCCTGTGTCTGACTGAGCTGTGACCCAGGGATGGCGGCATCAGGCCTTGCGTGAGAGTAACAGCACGCTCTGCTCATGAGTGACTCTGGGGGTCTCTTGCAAACTGTGGGGAGCATTGTTCTGTAGACGAGCAGGTCTCATCACTGAACCCTGCCCCTGGGGCGGAAGGCACCCAGCACACAGTGGCCCTGCTGTCTGCCGTGTTGAGGTCTCACCACCCCGCCCCCTGGCCACCTCGGCCATTCGCTGCACTGAGCCTGATCTCACTTGTGGGGGCCACAGGGATGAAGTGTGGTGGACCAGTGAGCGAGGCTCCCATGTTTCTTTCTTTTTTTTGGGAGGGGGGCCAGGAACCGGGGATTGAATTCAGGCCCTTGCATTTGCCAAGGAAGGGCTTATTCTACTGAGCCATCTCCCCGGCGCCTCCTTGTTTCTAAGGTAGCTGGCTCCTGTTAGGGCCCGCCCCGTGCTGCTGTCCTCCCAGAACGAGGTGGGGGCCTCGTCCTCACTAGAGCACTGTGCTTGCCTTACAGGTACGCCCTGCTGAGGAAGTCCAAGGAGCGGCAGGGGCTGGACGGCCTCAACAACCTGAACTACTTCGCAAACATCACGTACGACGCCTTGTATAAGAACATCACTGTCAACTTGACACCCGAGCTGGCTCAGGTGAACGAGTACTGAGGGGAGAGAAGCGCGAGGGCTTCGCCGCCACCACCACAGAACAAAGCTGGTGACCTGTCTGGGAGGGTCTCCACAGACTAGAAACACAGTCTCATGAAGGACCACAGGGTTCCAGGGAAAACTTGTGACACAGTACACGCACAAACGCCTTCACTGTCGGACCTGCCGGGCCCGAGGGGTCATCTCTGGATGCTCCTCGTCAGCACTGGCTTTTTGTTTCCACGAGATAGACGTCTGTCCTGCTGCGCTCTCCCCATCTCCCACCTCGGCGCCCCATCTTCACCACACTCTCCAGAACCCGTGACAGGCAGGAGCCGCCCCAGGCTGTCATGGGCTGCCACTGCGAACGCCTTTGGAGCCCAGGGCAGTGCCAGCCCAGGCAGCTGCGCGCCAGGAACCGATGGACTCCGCACCATTCTTTGCATCTCTGGTGTTCTCTTTGGTTTCATTTTTTAAAAAAGTACCTGCTTTGGGTGGGGATTGAGGGTGGAAGGGGGGACTGGGGGATGGCAAATAGACAAATATATAACAATCACTTCTTGAAGAAGTATAATTGTAAATAAGCCATGTAAAATGCCTTTTTTAAATTTAATTTTATAGCTGGCTCCAATTCAAAGTGAGGATTTATACATTAGATCACTTATTTGGTTAGCAAATGCAGGAACTCAGTTAAAATGCAATTGAGGATCATCTCGGAAATTACTGTCACTTTGAAAGGGAGTGGAAATGGGGCCTGTCCCGGAGCAAGTGGACCCCCGTCTCCCTGAAGCTGACCTCTCTTCCCTCCTTCCCTTCCGCTCTTCCAGGGTCTTGTTCCTTCCTGCCTTCTGCTGTGGCACACTCAGCCCCCAGGCCTGTGCCGCACAGGAAGCTGCTGCCACGGGGCGCACTGCTGGCCCTGACCACGGTGCCCCATGGGTGCGCGCAGGCCCTCTGGCCTTGAGTTCTGTCCTGCCTCGTGGTACTTGGCCCAGGGTCTGAGAGCTGTGCCTCAGTGGCAGCTGGCCTCAGGGATCCCTGCTTCCCTTGCGGTTTCTGGAAAGACGATCTGTCCACTGTGGCTTAGTCCTGTGCACCGTGGAGTGAGGAGTAGTTGCAGCGGGAAGGACTCTGCCGGGTGCAGGTGACACTTGTGTGCTGTGGCTCAGCTGGGTTCTGGGAGAGAGCACCTCAGAGCTTTGAAATGCGGACTAGTAAAGCTCCCCGTGTTTTAGAAGTTGGATTCTAAATTGCAATGGAATTTGTGCCTCTTTGGTTTTCCCTGAGCCAATGCCCTCAGTTTATATTTCTGGCCATTTCTGCAGGATTCTGGAAAATGCCAGGGTTTTTTTTCTCCCCTTTTTTCCATAAAACATATTTATATATTGTGATTAGGAGTACTTTCTGAAGAGTGCTTCGTATTTTTTTTAATTGCCTTGTTTGCCTTCAACTTCTTAATTTTCATGGTTTACATGGGTGTGTGTAGGGGTGTGTGTATCTGTGTGCATTGGGGTTTTTCCATTGCATGTGTTGGTTCCGTGGACATATGATCCCCACACACCGTGGGAGTGATTGGCCAGGCCTTGTTTTTGTTCGTGTGCTTGTTCTTTTGAAGAGCAGAGTGGTATTTAGGAAATAAGTTGCAGCGCTCTTATCGGCTCATAGGAGAGAGCAGATGCCTGCCCTTGACAGTGCTGGTAAGTTGTATCATACATTTGAAGAGCTGTGAGCATTTCATGCTTTAAAGCACCTGCACAAGAGGACATCGTACAGAGAAGTGGCTTTGGTTTCCTTTGTCTTATGGTGCATATAGCAATAAAGACTCCTCCACCCCCCATGCCAGCCTGGCTCTTCCACCCTCATCCTTCTCTCTTTCATCACTGAAGGCTGTGAGCTGCTTTCGATGTGTCAGAGCTGTGGTGTCACCTGGAAGGATTTGCCAGGACAGCCTCGTTCTGGGTCAGGGAGGTCTCGTGTGCAGCGGTGCCATGAGCCAGTGACTTCGTTGGAAGCCCTGCATCAGTGTTGTCACCCCCTGGTGCTGCTGCAGGCTGGAGGCCGATGCAGGGCTTACAAGAATGATGATTTGAGAATCAGAGGAAAGGTTTGTTCTCACTGCTTAAAGCAGGGTCACTTACATTTTCTTGCCATCATGCCTACGTTTGATTTATTAATGTGGAACCCCTCAATATATGCTGTTAATCATGCAACCACCAATTCGGATATTGTACGAGAAGCATACTAGTTACAGGCATGGCTAGGCACATGTGCCGCTCAGAGTATGGAAGTTCTATGTTGAAAAAAAAGAAAATAAGAATCAAATGTGACCTTGGACCTATTTTGGCAGCTGAAATTCTACAAGGCTACTGCCAGGTGACCCCTTAAATCAACCTAGTCTTTGATTGCTGTGTGCAAGAAAGGCTCCCCCTTTCATGCTGTTTTTTGGGGGGAGATGATATTTACAGAAATATGGTGATGTAACAGGGGCTCTTTTGTCAGAGCTCCTCCACCACAGACATTAGTAGCTGGGCAGCAGCCACATGTAGTGATTGACAATGGCATTGGACGTAGCTAGCTTATTTCCATCACTACTTTTTTTGAGCTTGCTCTTATGTTTTAAGAGGTGCCAGGGGTACATTTTTGCACTGAAATCTAAAGATGTTTTAAAAACACTTTTCACGAAAATAGTCCTTTGTCATTACATTATTTACTCATGTGTTTGTACATTTTTGTATGTTAATTTATGAATGATTTTTTCAGTAAAAGATACATATTCAAGAACCAAACCTTGGTGGTCGTTTCTCTCTACTTAGGGCAATTTGGCTTCATGGGAGCCTTTTCTTCCTTTAGGAGTTCTGCTTCCTGAGCTTGGTGACTGGTCTGTCCTGAGGTAAACCCTGTCCACAGGCCAGCTGCGGGAAAAACTTCCTGGAGGCAAGAGCCCTGACTGAGTCCCTGGGCCACCTGCAGGAAAGAGGCCGGTACCAGCCGCAGAGTCCTTGGAGTCAGCCCATAGTTCGCTGTATGCCCACTTCTGTCATAGCTTCCATTTATCCAATGTTTACCACTCAAAATGGTATTGATTCTTGGAGTTTAAGTTCTGTGCCCAGCTGGGTGGGACAGGAGCCTGCCATGCAGTGCAGAGTGAAGAAGTGTGGAATCCTTGGGGAGAGCCTGCTGCGGCTGGGCAGCAGGGCGTGGGCAGTCTGGACCCCTGGGAAGGGACCGGCGGGCGCATCCAGAGCAGCTTCTGGGGCTAGTAGGGGGGCCTCTACAGTGTGTGTCTGAAAGAAAAACCAGATCTGGGAGCTCCTCATTGAGTGGTGCAAACACCCTGGAATGGGTTCCTGACCCTGCTGCTTCCTTCCCATTACCAAAATTGTCTGAATTTGGAGGCTATCTGGTAATAAAAGTGGTAGTTCCCATTTGTTACCTATTCTATGCCTGGTCCACTCCAAGTGCCCCTCCGTCCAGGGGGCTTCCCTCCCACTTGACCTTCGGGCCCTGATCACCTGTTGCCTGTCACCTGAGGTGCGGTGCAGGTTGCACACTGTTGGGGTGACAGCCTGAACTGCACAGCAAGACCGGCTCGAAAAGACAAAATGAACAGGGCTGGCCAGATAGCTCAGCGGAGTGAAGCGCCTGCTTAGGCAGATGCAGAGATTCTTGGAGGTTTGATCCTCCCCGCCTGCTGTGTCAGCCCCGCCCCCAGGGCATGCTGCAACTGGGATTGAGATGGCATGGTGGCACGTGCCTATAATCCCAGCACTTGGGAAGCTGAAAACAGGAGGATCATTGCAAGTCCGATTTGTGTAGTGAGACCCTGTAGATCCTGCTAAATACAAAAAGAAAAAAGGAACAAACAAAAAGACTGGGGATGTAATGAAAGCAGCTGCTTTAGAAGAATGGAAGCCACAGTTTGCTTGGAATTACAGATTGAGCAGTTGAGCCCATGGGGTGGGGGTGGGGGATGCCCTGAGAAAGATCCTCTTCTCCTGTAGGCTGATTGTTCTGACCCAGCTTCCTTTTTGCAAAAGTGCTCTTAATAGCTTTTGTTCACAGTTTTTAGGATATTTATATTGAAAGACAAATAAAAGAGCACATACAAGCTCCCCCCCTCAAAAAAAAAAAAAAAGGAAAAGCACTTTTAAACCACCCTTTTCAGGGCTGGCCTGATAGCAGACTAAAGCACCTGCTTAGGTAGAGCTCAGTGGCCGGGTTTGATCCCCAGCAGCATGCCGTGCGGTGCTGGCCCCGCCCCTAGGACACACTGAGACTGCAGTTGAGACTGGGTGTGGTGGCACAGGCCTGTAATCCCAGCGCTTGGGAGGCTGAAAAACAGGGTCACTACAAGTCTGATCTCCGTAATGAGAGCCTGCAACTCCTGTACTAAAAGCAAAAAAACCCCAACAAAACACAACAAAAACACGCTTAATTTAGTCGCTGAATGTCTTTATGTCCATGCAGGGATAAACAGATGCCTTGCAGTTGCGTTTGGCCTATCGGCCTCCTCCCATGGTGCACTGCTTCCTCACCTAAAGCTCACCGGCCACCTCCCTGCTGAGGCGCTCAGGCCAGCATGGCACAGTCTGCTTCGGTCCTCATGCCCAGCTTTGGTTGGCTTCCCAGTATTTCTCACTCTGCTTCATATTGTCTTAATAGTATTGTTCCTTGACAGTCACCCTCAAGAGCAAGAAGACTCTGTCCTTTGCTCCATCCCCAGGGCCAAGAGTTCATCCTGCTAATACAGACCACCGATTCCCTACACTCCCCTGAACGTGAACAAAGCCCCAGGACCAACCCTCTGACCTTTTCCTGAGGCAGAGATAAGATTCCCTTGTGCCTGGTTGTCTGTCCTCCATGACCTGCAGTAACCTTTCTTCACTTGGTGCTCACTGAAGGCTCAGGCGGTGGACCCCCATCTCCAATCCAGTTGCAACAGTGAATCATGGGAATGGACATGCGCAGTAGAGGAAGTGGACCTGACTCAGCACCCTGTCTATCCTGTTACCAATCATGCTCTGGAACACCCAACGGGAGGTGACCTAGACCTGGCTCAGCATTTTAAATTCTCAAACTCAGTGCCCTAATGCTGGTATTATTTTTCTTTGCCCTGGCACAAACCCACTCACTTTGAGCATACCGTTGTCTAAACTTTGTTAAACTTCTCTGCTTTTATGTTACAGCTGTGTGCTGTAGCCCTTTGGTCCCATACAAGAACCTAGATATTAAAAAAAAAACAAAAACGGCCGGCCAGACAGCTCAGAGGATTAAAGCGCCTGCCTAGGCAGATGCACCTGGCCTGCCGTGCCGGCCCTGCCCCCGGAGGCGCGCTGAGAAGGCTGCGATTGAGACTGGGTGTGGTGGTGCGTGCCTATAATCCCAGCGTTTGGGAGGCTGAAAAACAGGAGGATCATTAGAAGTCCTATCTGTGTAGTGAGACCCGGAGGTCCCTGTAGACTGCACTAAAATTTAAAAAAAAAATCTAAAAACCAAGC